CACACACAACCCATACACACACACACAGACACACACACACAACCCATACACACACACACAGACACAAACCCATACACACACACACAGACACACACACAACCCATACACACAGACACACACACACAACCCATACACACACATGACCCATACACACACACAGACACACACTCAACCCATACACACACACACACACACCCGTTGCTTCCACTGATCCAGCCTTTTGTTGCTTCTAGTGATGGTTTCAGTCTTCCTCCTGGAGGAACATGGCTACAGCTTCCTCCAACACTTTATCGGGATCCAGCAGTTCAATCTGGAGGGAAGTGGTGAGCCTTAGGGTCAGTGTGAACTCGGGACGGAGGAAGGGGCTGACCCTAGTGCTTCCTGGTAGCTGAGCTGCCCTCTCTGCCAGCCCCCTGCCAACCCCACCTGTCTGGGGGAAGGCTGGCCGGCTCTGCCTGGGTCCTCTAACAAAAGGCTGTTGTTTCTGTGGCCTGGCCCGGATCCGGGTGTGTCCTGTCTCCCTCTCTGTGGGAGGAGGGATGGCGCAGGGTGAGCAGCCGCCACCTTAGCAGCTGGGGTTCTGAGCCCCATTGTCTGGGACAGGTGGAAGCACCTTGAGGGTGTGTTAAGCATAATATCACTTGATCCTCACAGCAGCCCATGAGGTTGTGATTTGCCCAGGGTCATAAATCTGTCCTTTTAGGCAGGATTCGAACCTAGGTCTTCCTGATTTCCAAGTCCAGTGCCCTAGGCTACTCCCCATGCTGCTTTCCCAGAATCATTGACCTAGGGCTGGAAAGGGCATCATCAGAGGCCATGTAGACCAACCATCTCAACTTGCAATGAGGAAACTGAGGCCCAGTGGGGACAAATGACTTGCCCAATGTCCTGCAGGCAATAAGAATCAGAATCTGGATTTGAACCCAGGCCCTCTGGATCCAGAGTCATTGTCCATCCATCCCACTGTACCACGTTGTGAGGCAGGTAGTATGAATATTTTAAGTCCCTTCTTTGTGTGATAGGGCTAGAGAAACCAAAGTGACTTCTCTGGGTCTAGGAATGGAAGCCAGGTTTTCTGGGAGGTTTTGTTTATTTTCCCACCGTAGCATCCTGATTGTCCAGTATCCTGAGAGGGTTGCTAGGACTTCCAAAGAGGTATGGATGCTCAGGCAGAAAGGGGGCGCCAAAGAGGATTGCTTAGCCTCTATGACAGCACAGCTCCGGCACCATTTCTTTCTTTGTTTCTTTGTTTCTTTTTTTGTTTGTTTGTTTTGTGTTCCTTTTAGGCAACTGTGATTAAGTGACTTGCCCAGGGTCACACAGCTAGTAAGTGTCAGGTGTTTGGTTGGAGGCTGGATTTGAACTCAGGTCTTCCTGACTTCAGGGCCGGTGCTCTAACCACTGTGCCACCCAGCTGCCCACCCCGTGCCATTTCTTAAACAAGGCCTTTCCCCAACATTGGCACTGTATCTTCTTGAAACAGATTTGTCAGATTTGTTCGACTTTGTATTGATGTTTGTGTGTGTAAATCCTGAGGGCTAGAAATGTTTCTTTCTTTGTTTCTGAACTCCCACCACCAAGAGCATGCCTGGCACATTTTTATGGTGGGGGAGGCCCAGATCTGTGATTTTTATCCCTCTGGGGAGCTTCCTTTGAGAAAACTCCTTCCACCAATGAAGTCTGGCACCCACTCTGTAACACAGAGTCTTAGAGATTTGTCTGGGACAAGTTTAAGGGGACTGGGAGAGGGACCCCTCCAGGGTTACACAATCAGGATGTGCCTGACGTGGGACTTGAACCCAAGTCTTTCTAATCTCTATCTGCCATGCCAGGCTTGTAGGGGCTTAATAAAATGTTGGATTGATGCTTTTTGGGAGGGGCAGCTAGGTGGCGCAGTGGATAGAACTCTGACCTTGGAGTCAGGAGGACTTGAGTTCAAATCTGACCTCAGACACTTTACACTTACTAGCTGTGTGAACCTGGGCAAGTCACTTAACCTCAACTGCCTCACCAAAAGGTTAAAAAAAAAAAAAAGAAAGAAAGAAAAAAGGGGGAAGGAGAGAGAGTGCATATGAGCCAACTGACCTTTGGGATGGGATACTTGGTGGGCTCAGGGGCTTCGTCCCGACCAAAGTCGATCATGGTTCCGCATTTGGGCACGTCATCCACCCATAAGCCCTCAAAGAGCTGCCCGTGGTCCAGATGGAAGAAGCGGCCAGTTCCATTCTTCATCCCATATTTCCAACAACCTTCATAGCGGTTCCCATTACCTTCGGAGAAGTAAAGGGGAGGGGGGGATGCGGTGGTGAGGGTTGAGGCTGGAACCTTGGCCCTAAGCGTCCAGCCTTTCTAGACGAGATGAGGAACAGAGAGCATTTGAACAACAGAAATCAGTCAACCAGTAGCTGAGGGCAGGCCCAGCCCTGTGCTAAGTCTCAGAAGACCCACATAAAAGCTTTCAGTCTAGCTGAAGACAAACAACTCCCTCATGGTACATCAGGAAGGTTAAGTGAATGTTGTAAGGAAGAAAATACCCGCTGAGTTCCCAGAAGGAAGCCTTGATCACTCTGGACTGAGGTGATGAGGGATGGAGGGAGGAGGTGCCAGACAGAGAGGGGACGGTCCTGACTGCCAGTCTAGGGAACTAAGACTTCAACAGCTCACTTCTCTCTCTTCTCGGGCCTACAGCTTCTCACGTGAAAATGAGCGGTGGACTTTTGTTGTAATAAAGAATAGCTGAGCAAGCTGTGATGTGTGAATGCAACTGTACTGAGAGCAAAGCTGTTCGTGAGGAATTCAGAGAAACCTAGGGAGACTTTGGTGAACAGAGGCAGAGCCAAGCAATCAGAACCAAGAGAATAATTGACTTGATGCCACAGTAATGTAAAGAAAAGCAATGGGTCTTGGAGTCAGGAGGACCTGAGTTCAAATCCAGCCTCAGACACTTGACACTTACTAGCTGTGTGACCCTGAGCAAGTCACTTAACCCCAATTGCCTAACCAAAAACAAAAACAAAAAAAAAGCAACAGGGAAAAACTAGAACTCATTCATTTCTAGATGTTGCCACTATGTTGATTTGTTTTGCATGAGCGTACTTATCTGTTAGAAGGGAGAATGGAGAGAGGTGGGGTTCATTGAGAAATGAAAGTGAGATTTTTAAATGGCATCAATAAAAATAATTTTTAAAATTTGTGTTGGACAAGAGCAAATGCTGGACTTAAGAGTCGGAAGAAATTTGAGTTTCATGTGTCTTGTGGATATGGGCAAGTCACCTAAACTACAGAGCCTCACTTTTCTCATCTGCAAAATGGGGAAAATTATACATGTAATATCTACCCTGGGTTCAGGGTAGACTTCTGAGTCCTGAGTTCTGAGATCCTGAGATCATGGATACTGAGCACTTTGCAAGACTTAAAAGCACCATGTAAAAGCTCCTAGGATCACAGAATCGGAGGTCATAGTGTTGGGGTGTGTGTGCGTGCGTGTGTGTGTGTGTGTGTGTGTGTGTGTGTGTGTGTGTGATGGACCCCTTTAGCAGTCTAGTGAAGTCTATGCATCCCTCCTCAGATTATTTTTAGGTGCATAAAATAAAATACATAGGATTACAAAGGAAACTAATTAGATGTCACCAGTTTTTTTTAAGTTCATGGAGCTCCCCCAGTTAAGAACTCCTGTTCTATAGGTAGAGAGGGCCAAAATGACCATCTGGGTCAACTTCCTCATTTTATAGATGAGGGAACTGAGGCTCAGAGAAGTTCAATAACTAAAGCCCTTATCTAAGTGGTGTAAAGGATGTTTTCCAAGAAATATAGGTATGATTCAAAAAAGGCTGAGCACGGCTGGTTCACCTAGCAAGAGCAAGAGGTGACCAGTAGGGGCAGCTAGGGGTGCAGTGGATAGAGCACCGGCCCTGGATTCAGGAAGACCTGAGTTCAAATCCAGCCTTAGACACATAACACTTACTGGCTGTGTGACCCTGGGCAAGTCACTTAACCCCATTGCCTATCCAAAAAAAAAAAAAAAGAGATGACCAGTGGAGAGCATGAGCGCTCACTCCATGGGTAGACTCAAGAAATCAGGAGGACTGAAGGAAGGCCTCCAGCATATTGGTGCTGCAGTGACTGATGGGAGACAGCATGGACGAGAGTCAGCCAGGATGGGCGGGCGTGGATAGGTTGGGATCTGCATCTCTGGAGACAGCATTACTCACATGGATGAGATCACGTATCCATTGGTATGGAGGAGTACACAATCCCTTACCATCCTAAATCCCGTGCCTGAATGGCCTCTAAAGCCCGCTTCTAGCTTGAATGTTCTACATTGCCAGGACGTGCCAAGCTGCCGGAGGGCATGACCCACATATTTGTGTGACTTCTATTGGGCAATCAGGCAAATGCACAATTTCCTGAGAGTGAACTCACTCTCGCTGGATGGGGGCAGAGCCCGGGAGACTTACTTAGACGGAGCATGCCCTCCCCATCTCTCCGGCCCTCACTCCACTGGCCCTCGTAGATGTCTCCATTGGCATAGTACATGCGGCCCCATCCGCTTTGAAGGCCGTCCTTCCATCCTCCTTCATAGTACTCCTTGGGCCCATAGTACTGGATGCCATAGCCCTGCAGGAGGCAGAGGGGTCAACCTGCCTCAACACCCCATCCACCAATCAACAATGAAGAGTCCTCTAAAGTCCACAACCTAGTGCAAGGATAATCACCCCCATTCTAGAGACGAGGAAAATAAAGGCTAAGAAGACATTAAATGGCTTGCCCATTCAATGCCACACAGCTAGTAAGTGTCAGAGCCAGGATTTGAACCTGAGTATTACTGACACCAAACTGAACACCATTCCCACAACACAGTGCTGCCTAAGGAGGGCAGAGGAGACTGGACTTCCAGCCCAACTGGGCTAGAATTTAGGGAAGGTTCCTCCATTTTCCAGGCCTCTTCTTAACTTCAGCAGAGGAAGCTATGAATGTTCTGGTTGGCCCTGGGCCCTTCCCTGCATTTATTTCTTCCAACCCTCCACCCCTTTCTCACCACCCACACTAGCATGGGAGGGTACCCCTCAGCCTAGAAAAGAAAGCCAGGAAATGATAAAAGCCTAGGGTATGGGTGGCACTAAGGCTAGGCCCCTTTGTCGGGGGAAGGGAAGGAGAGGTTTTCCAGCCCATCCCCAATTCCAGGGCAGGAGGAAGCCCAAGCCCCATGGCCTGTTTGCCTCCCCATCTGTCCAGCTTGGCACTTAGTTCTAGATCCCACCCCCATCTCTCTCCTTTCTCCTGCTTTGTGTTTGCTAATAATTTGATTCCTGTGATATTGAGGGGAGCTGACCCTGAAGCACCCTCTGTCACCCTCTCTCAGACCTCTTCTCCTCTTCTTTGGTTTCTGAGTTCCTCATCTCTCTTTCTCCTTAAGTCTTGGGGTTTGTTTTCCCTTAACCTCCCCAGATAATCAGCAGCCTCTGGGGTCCCCTCAATTCCGGTCTGGCAGCCCTGGCCCTCCTCCCCTCCAACCCTTATCCCCGAGATCCTCTCTTCTTCTCTTGCTGAGGAACAGCCCAAACTCACAGCTTTTTTGTCGTTTGCCCACCAGCCAGAGTAGACCTTCTTATACTTATTCACAGGGTCAGGAAGGCTGAGGGTCCCATACCCATCTCTCTTCCCAAACTTCCATTCTCCATGGTAGATAGCACCACTTTTTTTCCACCTCTGGATTCCTCTCCCTAATGGGAAGAGACAATACCAGACATAGCTCAGATCACCTTGCTGGAAGAACAGCTTGTCTTCTCCCTGATGGGGCACTCAGGCTCCAGAAAGTTCTTCCTGTTTGGGCTCCCACTGGGATTTCCTTGCCCAGCACTTTTCTGAACCCCTTTCCCACTTCTGAGACAAAGTTCAACAGCAAACTCCACTTCCTGGGTCAGCATTCCCATCCCTTGTTGGTGGGCTCTCCTGAGATGCCAAACTGGTTTATTCTCTTGGAGTTGGAGTCTAGGGAAGAGTGACTAGGGACTCAGTATGTCTGAAGTTGGTCAGACCTGACCATGTTACTCCCATACTCACAGAACTCCAGTGGCTCTCTATGGCCTTTGAAGCCCTTTACACCCTAGCTTTCTAACCTCATTTTACATTATTCTCCCCCTTCCTGTATGTAACAGTCCAACTAAAGCATCCAGCTTGCCGTTCTTTACCTACTACACTCCATATCTCCCATCTCCATCCATGCCTTGGCATGGGCTAATCTCCATTCCTGAGACGCTGTCCTTTCTTACCTCAGTCTCCTAGAATCCCCAGCTTCCTTTAAGACCCGGCTTCTCCTTCTCCATTAAGGCTTTTGTGATTCCCTCCCCACCTCCAGGCACTGCTAGTGCCCTCTCTCCCCAAACTACCTTGTAAGGTGTAGCTCACATTTCTTTAGTGATTTAAGGTTCACAAAGCACTTTTAAAATATCTCATTTTATTATTGCAACCACCCTGGGAAATAGATGTTATTATGATCTCCATTTCTTATCCCTATTCCCTTTTTTTTTAACTGAGAAGTTAAGTGACTTGCCCAAGGTCACATGGCTAGGAGTGTCTGAGACTAGATTTGAACTCAGGTCTTCCTGAGCTCCAGGTCCAGCACCACCAACTGCCCCTTATTCTGTATTCTGTATTCTGTACACTGTATATTCTTGATTCTTTTTTTTTTTATGTGAGGCAATTGGGATTAAATGACTTGTACAGAGTCACACAGTTAGTGAGTGTTATGCATCTGAGGTCGGATTTGGACTCAGGTCTTCCTGACTTCAGGGCCATTACTCTATCCACTGCACCACCTAGCTGCCCTATACTGTATATTCTTTATAGGTTCACCTAAGTACATTTTATCTCCCTTGATAGAAGGTCAGCTCCTAGAGGGCAGCCTCGTTTCATTGATGTCTTTGCATCCCCCAGCACCTAGTACAGTGCAGGGCATGTAGTGGGAGCTGAAGAAATGTTTGTTGATGGATAGTTATGGCTTAGTCCCTAAGTCACTGGGTAGCCTTGCACAAAGATCCTTACTTCTCCTACTTGCCCAGCCTGGGAGGGGACATGCTTCTTCCTAGGCTCATTTATGCGACCATCAATCTAGAGCTGAAAGGGAACTCAGAGGTCCATCTGGTCCAGCTCTCTCATTTTACAGATGAGGAAACTGAGGCCCAGGGAAGTTAAATGACTTACCCAAGGTCACACAGGTACTAAGATTCCTCCTTTCCCTGCTGGAAATTCCTGGGAAGTATAAAAGCTAGACAATCAACTTGGAAAGGAATCAAGATTGACAGGTTAGGGGCCCATACTCTAGTTGATATGTGTGTGTAAGGGACTTTGTATGCCAGGAAGAATAAAATTAATCAACAGGCATTTTTTTTTTTTACTTTTAGGCAATTGGGGTTAAGTGACTAGGCCAGGGTCACACAGCTTAACAGGCATTTATTAATGCCCACTGTGTTCGGTGCTGAGGACACAAAGACTCCCTTCCCTTGAAGAGTTTACATTCTATTGGGCTGAGAGTAGACATCACATGTACGTGTAAGTCCAAGGTCATTTGGGAATGAGCACCAGTGGCTGGGGAAGAGATCAGGAAAGGGAGGGAAGAGATCAGGAAAGGGAGGCAAGAGATGGTGTTTGACTTGAGCTGAGGTTTGAAGGAAGCCAGGATTCTAAGAGGTAAAAGTGAGGGATCGAGGGAGTTGGAAAGTCATGAGGGATTAAAACCTCAGCCCCAGAGTGCAGAACTAGAAAAACAATTTGAGAGGAAAGCTGTAGATATACAGATTGCTGGCTCATTGAAAGGCAGTTATGACGAGGCAGAGGGGTGGGGTTCGGGAGTCCGAGGTCTTGGGTTCAAATCTGCCTCTGGGGCAGCCAGGTGGTGCAGTGAATAGAGCTCTGGCCTTGGAGTCAGGAGGACCTGAATTCAAATCCAGCCTCAGACACTTAATACTTACTAGCTGTGTGACCCTGGGCAAGTCACTTAACCCTGATTGCCTAAGCAAAAAAACAAAAACAAAAATCAAATCTGCCTCTGAAACTTACTACCTGGTATGATCCTGGCAAAGTCACAACCTACCTGAACCTCAATTTTCTCATTTGTAAAAACGAGAGGGTTGGAGACTTAGTGTATTGGGAGATTACTTCCCGCTTTTTAAGTATAAACTAACGATCAGATGGAAGGTGGATACGTCCATTTGGTGGAGATCATGTAGGAAAGAATCTCAGACAGTTTGACTCCACGGCTGCTGAGAACCCTTCTGATTCTATGAATCTGGTAATGAGAGGGTCTGTATGTTGTGGGAGTGCAATTAATAGCTAAATAATTGAACAAATGAGTGAATGAATTGGGAAATCTCACAGGATGATAGATTGAGACCTGCACAGGACCTTGGAGAATGTTCTAGTCCAATCTCCTCTCTTTACAGATTAGGAAACTGAGTCCCTGAAAGGTTAAGTGACTGCTATAGGTAGTAAGTAAATGGCAGTTGGATTCAAACTCAGGTCCTGTGACTCCAAATCTACTGTAGCATGAAGGAAGGCGGACGATCACTCTTTGACTCCTCACATCTTCAGCACTTAAGGACAGTTTCTTCCTTTATAGAGGGTCAGGAATTGGACTGGATGACCTCTGGGTTCCCTGGCTACTCTTCATTCCTCTAACCACACCTTGACACGCATCAGTTCTGAGTTTCTTTGTCCTTTTGCAGATCTTTAGCACAGTGCCTGGTCAGTAGGCACTTAATAAATGCTTATTGATTGCTCTTTTCCCTCTGTGTGACTTGTGTTTCCTTAAAGACCCCTTGTGGATAACTGTCCCAGTGGGGCTTGATATAGTGCTTTCATTCCCAAGGGAGGCTGAACCTGTTGTCTATACACTGACCCACCGCCATGACATGTAACTGATCGTTGTGTACCTTGCAGTGGGGAATATGTTGTCATTGAGTCATCTACACTTTCTCCTAGTTCTCCTGGTGCCTACCAGCACACTCTCAAGTTAGACAAGTGACCTATGGCCTTGAGGTAAGTTTTCCCCATGCAAAGAGACCAAGATAGAATCCAAGTTTTGGTCACATGTATCCAAAAATGATCATAGAATTTAGTCCTGAAAGGAATTTTAGAAATGATCTAAATGACCAAAAGCTCATAGGAATTGGAGCTGGAAAGGACCTTAGAGGTCATTGTCTAACCCCTTATTTTACAGATGAGGAAACTGAGGCCCAGAAAAGATCATAGAATCATAGACCTAAAAGCAACTATAGAAGGTCCAAACTCTTCATTTTACCTATGAGGAAACTGAGGTCTAATGTGGTTAAATAATTTGCCCAAGGTCGCACAGGCAGGAAGGGGTCAGAAACCAAAAGCCAAAGGCCAGGTTTTCTGACTAACTGCTCAGAATCTATGAAGCCCTAACCACTTGGGTCCTCTGAATAAAATGGCTCTGGCACCTCTCCTTCCAAATTTTTTTTTTCTTCTCTGTTTTTCTAGATAAAGAGAAGACCACTCTCTCTCCCTTGACTCCTTTCCATATTCAGGGATGAGCTGGGAAATGACAGATTCTATAACTATCTAGCTGGGTCTTAGTTTCTCTCATTGGTGGAATGGGAAGAGTGAATTATTACTTTTTTTTTAGGTAGTTGGGGTTAAGTGACTTGCCCAGGGTCACACAGTTAGTGTCAAGTGTTTGGTCTGAAGTCGGATTTGAACTCAGGTCCTCCTTACTCCAGGCCAGTGCTCTATCCACTGCGCCACCTAGCTGCCCCTGGAAGAGTGAATTCTTAACACTACAGACCAGAGGGACCTTGGATACCATTCTAGCATGGTACTCTGGAAAGGGAACTGGATTTGTGACCAGAGAATCTGGGTTCAAATCACACCTTTTCCACTTCTTAGCTGCAAGACGTCAGGTTAATTAACTTTTCCGGGCCTTCATTTCCTTACTGGGAAAATTAGGGCGTTGGACCAGGTAAACTGAGGTTGGAGTTGGATTAGATAACATTGAAGGTTTGATTCTGATGGTCATAGATTTGGAACCTACGGAGGTCTTAAAGGTCAGCTAATCCAAACTGTTCATTGTACAAAAGTGGAAACTGAGGCACCCTAAAGAAAGGCTGAGCTCCTTGAGCCATGTCTAGAAAATAATAACACCTCCCATTTCTGTAGTACCTAAAAGCTTATAAAGGAGGTAGTATGGTACAGTAGAAACATTACTGCCTTTAGAGTCAGAAGATTTGGGTTTAAAGCTTACCTCTGATGCCTACTATCCTGTCTGACCTTGTATAAAAGTTGCTTGACCTTTCTGGGCCTCAGTTTCCTCCTCTGTAAAATGGGGACCTCTGAACTCTCTTTCTAGATCTAACATCCTTTGACTTCTCTGGGCCTCAGTTTCCTTCTTTGTAAAATGAGGGCCTCTGAGCTCTCTTTCCAGATCTAGGATCCTATGACCTCTCTGGGCCTCAGTTTCCTCCTTTGTCAAATGAGGGTTGGAGTAGATGGTCTCTGAGCAAAAGTCCCCGAACTCTAAATCCATTTCCATGCTGAACTCACCCTCTTGACCCCAACTTAATGCCAGAAAACAAGGGACAAGTATATGGAGCCTCCCACTGCAGTTATGATCTCTAAACAGTCCCATGAACATGGCTGTGTGCTGGGTAAGTCAGTTTAACTGGGCCTCGGTTTCCTTATTTGTAAAATGAGGGGATTAATCCTATGAACCTAATTAGAGCTGGGGTGGGGGGGGGGGGGACTGAGTGCATAGGGGTTAGTTACTGTGTGCCAGGCACTGTAGTAAGAGAAATAGCAAATATACTAAGCAAAATACTAAATATTATCTCATTTGATCCTCACTACAACCCTGAGAAGTAGGCACTACTATGATGCCCATTTTACAGTTGAGGAACCTGAGGCAGAGACAGATTAAGTGACTCGTCCAGGGTCACACAGCTAGAAGAGTCCAAGCCTGGATTTGAACTCAGGTCTTCCTGATTCCAGGCCCAGTGCGCTACCCACTGTACTACCTAGGCCCACAGGGGTTACTCTTCATCATAGGAGTCCGAGGGTCCGAGAAGCCTTTGGGGTGAAAGGGACGCAGCACCCAGACTTCACCTGAGCCTCTGGCCCCAGAGGAAATGGACGTGTTTTAAGTCTCGGTCTAACCATTTTGGGGGTGCCTCCAGAGTCACGATGACCCCACTGGCCTGTTGACGGTCCTCAGAAGGTCCTTACCGTGTTTGTTGTTGTCCTTCCATTCTCCAACATAGCAGTCGCCATTGACAGCATAAACCTCGTGTCTCAGGCCGCTCTTCTGGGCCTTCTGATCCCACTCCACCCACAAGGGGTGGGTGGTCTTAGGGGTCTTAGTGATAGGCATGGTGTTCTTAGCCTCAGCGGAGGACCTGAGAGAAGGAGCGGGAGCATTAGAGAAGGAGGGGCCTCGTCTGATGCCGGAGTCAGTATTTGCTTGGGTCCAGGCTCCTTTGGGTCCAAGCACTTTTCCTAGATGTCAGTTTTGTTAAGACAACTCCAAGGTGTCATTTCAAGATGTTTTCAGTCCCCGGGGGTGATGTCCTGCCTGCTGGTACCATCTTCCACTTAAGTGACTTTGGGCTCACCCTGACCCCCCAATCCCTTCCCAGGGAGCCATGATGACACAATGGGTAGGCCAGAGTGGGTGGCCCCACAGTGGGAGATGTCACGGCATCAGAGCCTTGTGACACTGGTCCTTATTTAGTATCCTGCAGCAAACCCTTGGTCCCTGGGAGTCACCAATGGGGCCGTAAGAGGTTAGTTGTAGGGGAAGGGCACAGAAACGGAAGAATTAAGTTAGGAGTAGACATGGTGTGGGAAAGCAGGGCCAGAGATGTATTCTGTGGCATTCCTTTTATGCAGGTCACCTGGAGTCCCCAGCCAATCCCCTGAAGCTCCAGAGAGACCCAGAGAGGAAGAATCTAGAAGGTCCCAGTCTGGGATCCCTGGATCTAACAGGACCCTAGCAGCAGGCACTCCATGGGATCCGGGGACCATGGGCCTCTCTTAGAGAAGGGGGTCCTGGGTAGAATGTTGGGGTGTCTGCAAATAGATACAGGAGAGATTATGTAATACTGAGGTGAGGCATACTGGATTCATACTATCTTCTGTCCAGATTGGGTGGAGGGACAGTGATGGAGTCACCAAACGGTGAAAGGAATCTTACATGGGAGAATGTCAGAGCTTGGAAGGGCTGTAGAACATAGAAAGTCAGGGCTAGGAGAGGGCCCAGAGCACAACGGCAGTGCTGGAGGAAGCAGAGGGCAAAGGACGTCAGAATTGGAAGGGACCTTTGGGAAGGATCTTAGAACACCACATGTCAGAGATGGGAGGAGCCTTAGAATACTGACCTTCAGAGCTGGTTGGGACCATAGAACATAGAATGTTAGAGCTGGAAGGGACCTTAGAGCAAACGCAGAAACTGATCTGAGCAGACAGCACACTGACTTAGAAAACTGCAAATGAATATTATCTATGTTGTCTTGTATTTTTGTTTTGTTAAATATTTCCCAGTTGTATTTTTATCAGGTTCATGCTACACTTGGGAGTTTTGTATATGGCTTATCCCAACAGGCTTGGGAGTTTTGAACTTTTGCCTTATAGCATGTGATTTCAGGGCTGGGAGGGAAAATATCACAGCCAGATGAGACCTTAGACACAGAGTTTCAAAGCTGGGAAGGGTCTTAGAACCTAGTACATCAGAGTTGAGAGGCCTCTTAGAATATAGAATGTCAGGGGCAGCTAGATGGTGCAGTAGATAGAGCACCGGCCCTGGATTCAGGAGGACCTGAGTTCAAATCCGACTAAGACACATAACACTTACTAGCTGTGTGACCCTGGGCAAGTCACTTAACCCCATTGCCTAACCAAAAAAACCCAAAAACAAACAAAAAAAAACGACAACAAAAAGAATATAGAATGTCAGAGCTATGCGGATCTAGAACATGTCAGAGATGAGAGGGCCCTCAGAACACAGAATGTCAGAGTTGGAAGGGGTCTTTGAGACCATCTAGTGCAACTCCCTCATTTTACAGAAGAGGAAACTGAGGCCTAAAGAGAGGAAACCCACTTACTAGCTGTGTGACCCTGGGCAAGTCATTTAACTCTGATTGCTTCCCAATTTTTTTTTTTAAAAAGAGAGGAAATGATACCTCTCCAAGGTCACACAAGGGGTCAATGGTAGAACAGACACTAGAACCCAGACTTTCTTACTCTCAGTCCAAAGTCTTTCCCTCTTCTGCCCCTCCTCCTTCCCCACCTCCACAGACCACAGTAAGCATAATTTTGCCTCTGCTATTGGCCTTGAGGGGGAGATGGAGCAAGGCAAATCTCTAGGCAGAGGTCAGAGGCAAGATTTCTGACTCAGAGATTAATGGATCTGTCACTTTCTGGGATTTTTTTTTAAGTTCTAGGATACTAAGACATTTCATCAACAGCCAGGAGGTGCAGGAAGAGGGCACGCTTTGGGAGTGGGGTCAGTAAAGCCTGGAAGCCGCCAGCTCAGATAGCTCTCATCCCCTCAGTAATTTGTTCGTTTCTCCTTCCTACCCTGTTAAATTTCCAATTCTTTGAAAGCAGTCTTTTTTTTAAAAAAATATATTTGTATCCGAAATGCCTAGCCCAGAAGCCCTGTACTTAACAGAAGCTTAATAAATGTTTGTATTCAATAGAATTAATTGAGGGAAAATATTGGGATGGGGAGAGTTTTCCATCAAGGATGCTTCTCAGTGTGAAACTCCCTGGGTCTTCATACAATAACAACTCAGTGAAAACAAAGCACTTTGAAAAACTCTGATCAACAGAAAAGACCAGCTAGGCAGGATTCCAGAGGAACCTCTCCCAACTGCACCTCCCCGACTCATGGTATGGAATGAGACGTACATTTTCAGCCCATGTAGGAATTTGCTTGCTTTGACTATGCATTTTTGTTGCAAAGGTTTTGGTTGTCTTCTCAATGTTGCGGGGGTGGGGGGGGGGAGCGGGAAGAAAAACTACTTGCTAATTGAAAAAAAACGTACACAAATTTTAAAAATTTCTTGGGATCCTGACCGTGCATCAGGAAATCCACAGGACTCAGAGGGACAGGAAAGGAAATGGGGATTGCTTAGTAATGACAGCTGATAATTCTAGAGCTAAAAAGTTGCAAACCACGACATTCATTGTCTCTTTCGGTGCCCACACTAGCTCCGAGAGTAACAAACACATCAGGTGTTTTCCCCATTTAACAGAAGAAAAAACTGAGGCAGAGAAGTGAAGAGATTTGCCTTCAAGTCACCCAACTCGGGGTTCATAGCAGTATTCTGAGCTTAGGACTCCCCAGACTCCGTCTCTAGCTATCCATTGAGGCTAGTTGCTAATGCAGTGCGTGACTACAGAGTGTGGGAAGAATTTGAAGGTAATTTACCAAGCATTAACTAGGCACCTGCTATGTGCAAACGGCAGCTAGGTGGCACAGCCGATAGATTACTGAGCCTAGAATCAGGAAGACCTGAGTTCAAATTCAGCCTCAGACACTTACTAGCTGTGCGACTCTGGGCAAGTTACTTAACCCAGTTTGCCTTAGTTTCCTCATCTGTAAAATGAGCTGGAAAAGGAAAGGCAAACCACTCCAGTATCTCTGCCAAGAACACCCCAAATAGGGTCACGGAGAATCGGAAACGACTGAAAAACGACTGAGCAACAGCAGATGCAGGTGTGTTAGGTATTGCTGGGTTGCAAAGACAGAAGGAAAATCACTGTCTCTGTTCATATGGAGGTTATGGTCTTCTAGACAACGTTTGCACGGATGAGTGAAAAACGAGGTTTTAGAGGCAGAGGACCAGGCAAGGAAGGCTTCCTTCTAGAAGAGGTGCCACCTAAGACGAGCAGTGCCAAAGAAAAGAAAGAATTGGAAAAGGCTGAGGTGAGCAGGAAGGCAGTCGGGACAGGAACCAAGTGGAAGAAAGCAGCCCATCTCTAGCGTACCTGAGTTTTGTTAGTTTTCCAGAAAGGAAAGACTCCGTGACCATCTTAGTCCCAAATCCCACATATTACAAGGTAGGCAATTCAGGCTCAGAGAGGTTAACTGATCTACACCGTAAGAAGAGGCGCCAGGACTTGAACCCCTGTGTCCTGAGTCCAAGGTTCTCCGGAAACTCCTACCCAAGGAGGCATTCATCCTTGGGGGTCGGGTCCCCCACCCTTTCCTCCCTGGAGGCCCCCCAATGCCTCGATAGCAAAGTAAGAGGATGAGAGATAGGGCTCGGGGGAAAACGGGACACCTCACGGATCGCTGCACGTGGTGGTGGGGAGAGAGGGAGGTTAGAGGAGGGATGGAGTTCCCTGGCAGGTGCTCCGGCATCTCTCTGGCTTGTACGGCCTGGGTCCGGTGCCGGGAGGCAGAGTCAGACCATTCACGCACGTCCTTCCATCGCAGCCTTCTGGAGACCTGCACTCACCTCGAGGTGCCCTGGCTCCGCCCCTGACCCCCAGGAGCCAAGGAACTGTCGGTCCAAAGCCTTGGCCCAGCCTTCGCCTGGCCGCAGAGCAGCGCGTGCACTCAAGCCTAGGACCCAGCCGGGGTCACCCTGGCAACGCTGGGACAACTCAAGATCAGCCTCGCGTGCGCCTCCTGGGCCGGCTTGGAGCGGAGCCCAGATGTGGTTGCGATAGTGGGGATCTCTAAGCCCAAGGAGCAGCCCTCTCTCCCCTGCCTCTCTCTCTCTACAGAGGAAGGGGGGGATGGGGCAGTGCGTGGGGGTGGGAGGGCGGGAAGAAACCCTTAAAAAAGACCCCCCTGGAGACAGTAGCTTGGCCTGGCTTGGGGCCCACAGGGCTGCCAGGGGTGAGAGAATGAACTTTGGACTGTGGAGGGAGGAAAAATGGTTACCAGGGAGTCAAAGCTGAAAAAAAGGAGTCAGGAGATGGTCAGCAGGCATCTAATAATAATTTCCAGAGCTCTCAAGTTGGCCAAGCACTTTACCCGAATGAAGGAGGCAGCCTGGTGTATTGAGAGGACTTTGACTTAGGAGCCAGAGGCCCCGGCTGGGAATTCTTACTCTACCACTTAAGTTGTAGGACCCAGGGCAAATCACTGACCTTTTGGGGTCCCAATCTGTAAAAGTTAATGACCTCTCAGGTCACTTTTACCCCTATGTCTATGAATGCTGTAACTGGGTAACCTCTAAAGTCTAGCTACAATCCTAGGATCCCATTTGTACTTTGGTTCAATCATCACCACAAGTTTCTCTGATAAAAGACTCTATCTAGGGAACTGAGTCAATTTGTAAAAGTAAGAGCCATCCCAATAGATAAATGGCCAAAGGCTATGTATGGGCAGAGAAGAAATAAAAACTGTCTATGATCACGTAAAAAAAAAATGCTCTCAATCACTATTGATAAGAGAAATGCAAATTAAATTAACTGTGAGGTGTCATCTCACATCCATCAGATTGGCTAACTTGACAGAAAAGGAAAATGACAAACGATGGAAGGGATGTGGAAAAATAGATTCACTAATGCGTTGTTGATCGAGTTGTGAACTGCACCGACCATTCTGGAGAACAATTTGGAACTATGGCCAATGAGCGGCATACCTTTTGACCCAGCAATACTATTATTAGGACTGTACCCCAAAGAGATTAAAAAAAAAGAAAAGGATCTTTATGTACAAAAATATTTATAGCTGCTCTTTTTGTGGTGGCAAAGAGTTGGAAATTGAGGGGATTCCCATTAATTGGGGGATGGCTGTGATGGAATCCTACTGTGTTATAAGAAATGATTAAGGGAGTGGTTTCAGAAAAACCTGGAAAGACCTATATGAATTGATGCATATGAAGTGAGCAGAACCAGGAGAACATTGTATACAGTAACAGCAATATCATGATATGATCAAATGTGAAAGACTTAGCTACTCTAAGCAATAAAATGATCCAAGACAATTCCAAAGGACTCATGATGAAAAATCCTATTTACCTCCAGAGAGAAAACTGATGAACTCTGAGTGCAAATTAAACTGTAATTTGTTCACTTTATTGATTTGTTTTTTGTAACACAGCTAATATGGAAATATGTTTTGCATGGTTTCACCTGTATAATTGATGCCATAGTGCCTGCCTTCTCAATAAATGGGGAAAGGACTGGAAGGAGGAAGAGAATTTGCAACTCAAAATTAAAAAAAGAATGTTAAACATTAAATAATAAAAATTTAAAAATAAAATGATACAGTTGGACAAGAAGACCTCATTGGCTCCTTCCAGATTTATATTTACGAAAATGTGATTTGAATTAAATTTATCTTTTTATGTGTCATACCTCCTACTAGATTTTATGTTTGTTTCTCTACCAATATTTAGCATAGGATTGTATGCCATAGGCATTTGATAAATGCTTTCTGAATGAATGGATTGATAGCCTAGAAGTCCTTGCAGCCATCAAAGTGATCTTCCTAATGTCCAGGTCTGACCATATCACTCCAGAGCTTAAAATCCTACAGTGATTCCCTGTTGCTTCTAGAACCAAAGCCAAAGTCCTTGTTTGGTATTTAAAGCCCTTCACAGTCTAACTCCAGCAACATCTCTAGGCTTATAGCACCTCACTGTCTTTTCCTTTACACACACTAAGTTTCAGTCAAATTGGCTTAGTTGCGTTCCTTGTAGAAGACATTCCATGTCTTCTCTGATAGAATGTAAGCCCCTTGAGGGCAGGGGCTGTTTCCTTTTATAGTCTTTAAACCCACAGAACCTAGCACAGTGTTTGGCACATAGAAGGCTTTTAATAAATCCTTGTTGATTACTTGACCTCCATGCTTTTAAACAGTCAGTCCTTCCGACCTGGCATATACTGGCCCCCTTATCTCAACCTTTTAGAATCCCTGACTTCCTTCAAAGCTCAAGCCAAGTGCTGCCTCCCACAAAAGGCCTTTCCTGATCTTTCCCCACCAGTTGCTAGTGCTTTCCCTCCTCAAAACTACCTGGATTTACTTAGATAGCATCCTCTCTGTGCTTAACCTGCATTCAAATTATGATTGTGACTATGATTCCAGTTCCTAATAGTCAGTTGACTTCTCTTAGGGTTCTGCCTATAACTGTGTTTTGAATTTTTCTTTCTTTCTTTCTTTCTTTTTTTCCCACTAGGCAATGGGGTTAAGTGACTTGCCCAGGGTCACACAGCTAGTAAGTGTCAAGTGTTTGAGGTCGGATTTGAACTCGGATCTTCCTGACTCCAGGGCTGGTGCTCTATCCACTGCGACACCACCCATGTACTTCCATCAGCTAGTTGACTCAATGAGCTTTTTGGTGATTGCCTGACTCTTTGTGACCCCATTTGGGGTTTTCTTGGCAAAGATACTGGAGAGGTTTGCATTTCCTTCTCCAGCTCGCTTTGCAGATGAAGAAACTGAGGCAAACAGAGTGAAGTGACTTGCCTAGGGTCACACAGCTAGTAAGTGTCTGAAGCCAGATTTGAACTCAGAAAAATGAATCTTCTTGACTCCAGGCCCAGTGCTCCATAACAAAGGTTAGTAAGGCTGTATAGTAAGAACAGTTGGTATAAAACATTTACCCCTCAGATCCTGGGCCACACGCTCTCAGGGTTCCTTGGAACCTTGATGGGGATGTAGCCAACCTGACTCTGGGAGGGAGAGCCAGAATACACACCTTTGTGGAGTCCATGGCTGGCATTCCTCTCTGGAGTGTACTTCTAGAAGCTGCCTCCTTCTTCTGGCGACCACGTGCATCCCTTCAACACCAGTATTTCACTCTGCTCTTGGCCGGATGCATTGTCTCCTACTGATCCAGTCTCCCTGGTGCCATGGTCGGTGGGGGGAGGGAGGAGTAAAAGGGGAGAGAGAAAGCTCTCCTCCCTCTTCCCCCAAAGGCGATTCCCTTTCAGGGACCTGACTCTAACTCTCAGATTGTATCCTTGGAGCTGAAATCTCCTCCACTGGGACAATCCAACCATTGGACTGAGCAACTGCTGAAATTCCTCCAGCTGTGTGATGCCCCCAGAGGCACCGTTAGCTTGTTTGGTTAGCCAACAGCTATTCACTTCTTGACCCAATCAAAGTGGTTTACACCTTGTAAAGGGATCACTGGGGAGAAACCATGTTGAGTATCAACATTTAAGACCATACTCTGTGAGTGCATTAGCTGAGCTGAGAGGCAATCGTGTTCCCCCTTCCTCATATATATATTTAAAATACACTTTTCTGTATATTGGTTGTCCACACTATTACAATGTAAGTTTTTTGAGGGCCGAGATTCTCTCTCTCTCTCTCTCTCTCTCTCTCTGTCTCATTTGGCTTTAGAAATCTCTCTTACCCAACAGGGATCTAGGAGGGGAAGGGGATAAGAGGAATGGTAATAAGAGTGAGGGCAGCTTAAGGGAGGCAATGGTCAGAAGGAAAACATTGAGAAGGCAAGCAATATGATATCAATTATACACGTGAAATCATGTAAAACATATTTCTATATTAGCTGTGTTACGAAAAAAAAAGCAATAAAGTGAACAAATTACACTTTAATTTGCACTCAGATTTCATCAGTTTTCTGTCTGGAAGCAGACAGTATTTTTCATCAAAAGTCCCTCAGAACTGTGATAGGTCTCAGCGCAATGCCTGGCACATAGTAGGTGCTTAATAGATGTTTATTGACTGACTGACTAACCGTGTCACTGAGCCCTGCTCAATAAATCCAAGGGCTCTCTGTTATGTCCAGGACCAAATATAGAGTCCTCTGTCTGATTTTCAAAGCCCTTTATAACCTGACCCTACTCCTACCTTGGAAGTCTTCTGACACTTTACTCCCTCCCCTCCTCCCTTAAACTGACTCCCTGTGATGCAGTGACAGTGGTGTCCTGGTGCTCCTATCCATACAAGTCCAGCCAGAGCGAAGCTGCTTGCTTCTCCTCACAGTGGACACTCAATCTCCTACGCACACCTTTGTGATTACTGCTCCTCATGCCTGAAATGCTCTCCTTTCTCACCTTTCCTATTTTATTGACCTCTTTGAGGGTATGGGAGTAGTGGTATCACCAGGGCAAAGGGTGTAAACAGTTAGTAACATTCAGGGTATAGCTCCAAATTACTTTCCAGAATGGCAATTCCAATTCACAATGTGCCAAAAAGCACAACCATGTGCCTGTTTTCCCACATCCCCTCCAACAATTGTCATTTTCCTTTTGGTCAACTTTGCTGTTCTGATGGGTGCAAGGTAGACCAATGGAGTTGTTTTAATCTGCAATTTTATTAATCCTGGATTCCCTTTAGACTTAACCCAAAGGACACCTTCTGCAGGAGTTCTTTCCTCTGTTTCCTTCTGAGGTTTCCTTCCGTCCACTGTGCATCTTAAATGTGTGGGGGGGGGGTGTTCAGGGAGGACTAGCATCTCTGGTGTTTCAGAGCTGCTTATCCACCTTTGGTGTCCATCTGGTCCTCAACTCTAGCATGTGC